TGCTTAATAATTAGCGACTAACATTAGACGCCATATTTTATAACTCTTAACAACAGTGTTTGTTATATTGTCATTGCTCAGTTTTCTTACCATGTATAAAATGTGTATAAAACATAATATAATAAAAACATGCGTGACGACGATGTAACAATATCTACATTTGTCGTTAAGAGTTATAGACAAAACAAGAGCCTTAAACTACGTAACATTTAAACTTTAAGCTTTGAACCATAAAAAATTGACCGATCATAGTTGATTTTTAAGCCGTAAGAAATTGATCGATCATAGTCGATTACTCTCCTCACATTCGACTGTGATTAGTCAATTTCTTAAGGCTTAAGGCTTATGTTTCACTCCTTAAGAATTCATTGTAGACGCCACTTTAGAAAGGCATATCCGAGAATGCGTGAGAATATAAATGACAGATATGAATATTTTTCGTCAAAGAGATCTTGAGTATCTGTAGTCTGTTATATAGGATCACAATCGGTATTAACTTGCCGATGAGTAATCAAGTAATGAATACATCGTCGGCAAAGACCGTACGTATATAAATCATGCCAGGGAGGATGCCAGGGGCTACAGGGCGGGCCCTTATCTCCAATCAGTACATTGATTGCACGCAGGCAGGTCAAATACCGGCAGCGCCACTCGGCCCTAGCACGATAGCTTATTCAATTTCCGAAACGGCATTCACCATTCAATTCGGCGGTTATCAGCCTGTGCCCATCCCCTATCTGGATTTTGCGTGACTTTCTAGAAAGCTGCGTGAATTCGTCCCAAAAGAAAAAGCTCGGATTTATCAATGGGTATAAATTGAGATAATCAAGATTCCGGTGCGTCGGCTATGATCGCTCTATTTTTATGAAAGCGCCATGCAGATCTTTGAATTTCGATCGCGAGAAAAACTAGCAAAAAAGTTTTCGAAAAATTAAGTAAATAATTATCTGTAAGTTTTTGTTTTAAGCAATAATTTCTGAGAAGCAATAGTTTCTTGCTGAAGTGCAAACTCACCAACAAACACTACTGCACGCGTAATTCATAAACAGATGACCATCTAAACGTACATCTACACGATTGTGAGAAAAATATTTGGTAAAAAATGGACGAACTAGAAGATTCTAATTAAGTCAATTAGAATTCCTCAACTAGAATTTTAATAGTAAGAAAATTTTGATTCGTTCGTTTTCAACCAGATTTCCAATTAATCCAACCAGACATTTTTCTCAATGTAATGTATGACTGACTATATTTAAATCTTTATTATAAAAAAAAATTACTGCTTAAAATAAAAATTTAAGTAAAAATTTAAGTAAAAATTTATGCAAAAATTCAAATAATACGTTTACTTAATTTTTCGAAAACTTTCTTGATATACTATTTTGCAAATTTCGCAAATTTTGGAACATTCTGTATATTCTGTTGTAAAACTATCCCTATGATAACATAACATCATCAAAGGAAAATATTCTCTACGACGCGAGATATCTCTGACGCTAATTTGATAAGACGAAGTTCTATCGCGAGTACAAGCATTATCATTCGGCGCATTTGCCGTGCGCGTGGCTATCATTCAGTATCTACCGGGCGGTAGCGAGGCTGCGCACTTTCCCGCAGTGTACATAGATAATCGAGCTTAATTAATTGCTCGTGATGCGCGCTCGGGGCTCAGCAAACACATTTACTTATTACCATCCATCTTGAGCGGTGCCTCTCAAGGGGATCGATTTTCCAAGTGCACGCGGCTGATGACACAAATTGCCAAAGGGTCGACGCTCGATCGTAACGCGATCGTTAAATAGAGGCGCGGCTTTTTTCTCCATGATCTCTCCACGACAGCACGACGAGCGTCCTTTCGAAAAAAAAAAGTATTTAATTATCCTGCAGCTTCCTCCAGTAGCGTTCCAAAAAGGACGAGAGTTAATCGTGAACCCTAAACGACTTTTATGCATGAGGCGGCCTGGAACTATCTGTCTTCGTTCGTCTTCTATCTGTTTTGCATATAATGCGTGCGGTGTGTGCGATGTTCCTCCACGTGTGTTAACTTTAATCTAAAATTCCTTTGCGAGGATAACGCGCGTCAACATATTCAACAAGCGTCGCTGCCAATTAGTACGCAGAAAGTATCAGCTTTCAATTTTAATAACGCTTCTCTCTTCCCGCAACATTCATCTCGCGTTTACACTTCACACTCTCATTAACTGCAAATAAAGATATCGTTTTAACGATAAAATAATACAGACTTTTCCCCAACGACAGAGTTAATGCATATTTCGAAAACGTGGCAGTATGTCGCTGCGATACCGTGGCACACTGTCAAAGTGCCAATTGACATCACCTCTCTGCTGCAATCGAGCGGTATATATCTAACGGTATATATCAGGCAGATAAGTATCAGGCGCAACAACGAGATTTACGCGGTAGTTAATAGTCGGCTACCTTAATCTGTACGTCTCGTCGCCGAAGTATGGTTTATCCGAGCGGAAGTCTCGCTCATCTGATCGTTATTGACTGGTACAGATCCCTTGGGTCGTAAGTGACATTTACACGATGCATTCAACGTTAAACTCATCCGGAGAGACAAGGCGGGAGACGGAGCGTCGTATCTCAGTTCCGGTATCTATACGGACACCGGGTTCCCCTGACAACGAGGCAACAACAAACGCCTAATGGCCAGTTCTCGATTCAAAGTTTAATTTCCTGACCAGCGGACAGTGCTTAAAGTGACCTTCTCCCTCCTCTCTCTCTCTCTCTCTCTCTCTCGCTCTCACCAGCTCGATCTTCCTTTCCCTCTTTCTGTTTCCCCCTTGCTGTCTTGCTTGTCGTCATGACCGCTTTCTCTCCTTCCGTCGTCCCTCGCGCACGCTGGTCTCGGGAATCGCGACCGGACGTACAGCCGCCGCTATGAAATATTAAAGAGTTAATGGCAACCCTCTTCACAGAATCGCGAGTAATTACCGCCTGACAGTCGCGTATCGCCGGATTAATCGATAGCGCGGAGTTTGATCCCTCGAGACGACGTTAATTGCTCGTACGTTCGAGAAACGTGTAATCTCTCGAGCGCGTTCTCCGTCCCTTCCACAAACTTTCCAATCTCGCATTTTCTATCCCTTATATGAACACGACGTAATGCAATGCCGTTAAAAAATTTTCTCCACGAGAGAAACAACGGTACGTGTGCAGGTCGCGATAGTATGATTGTACGCGTTATATCGATCTCGAAGAGAACTCCATGAACCCGGAACACCCATGCTCGCTTGTTTGACGTATACATATACATCGTGTAATGCCTATGTGATCGTGGCACTGACCCCGACCGTAACGTCGCTTCTCTTTGTGCCTGATATGCATACGTGCAAAATAAGTTTCGGGGTTACCGAGCACGTTCTCACCCCACATATCGCCCATCTTTCCTCCCGTAATTCTTATAGAAACATATAATAAAAGAAAAATAAAAGAAACTGCCAGCATAAAAGACAGATGGTCGTAATGCAAATTGTATGCGTTAAAAACCAGATTTTCAATCTAGTATCCTATTACCTATTGTCATGCTTTTAGTCATACATTCCAATCGAATGAAATCATACACATGATATTTATCTAAGTACGTTAAGGAAAATAAAATTTTATAATTATTGAAATCCTGATAAAAATAATCAATACAAACAGCAATGCAATATTATTTTTTAAATAATATTAAAAATGGATCGAGAAATATTCAACACGAACAAATGAAAAGGGTCAACCATGTTTGATTGGGTACTTGATGCTTTAATATTTTTGTATGAATTTTTACAATTTCCAGTTCAAGCAAATTGCATGAGTTTAATTTTCAGTTTTTAAATCCGATCCTAGTTATTTAAAATTGTTTAAAATTTTGTAATATTATTTAAAGATAATTAAATTAATTTAGTCAAGCAAACAATTTTTTTTTTGGTACTCTTGTGTATGTATATTATTTCTTTCTTGGTGCCATAGGGATATACGTTCACACATTACGAATAATACAAATATTTGAAAGATAAAATCGTGTCATTGGTAAACCGTAAGGTCTGGCAACTCTTTTGCGTCTACGGTAGTTCAGTGATCCTCCGAGGAAAATTGGTCAGAGAGAAAGGATCTGCAAGGCCAGCAGTAGGATAATACCACTATTGGAAGCGACATTCGCGCCAACGGAGACACGGAAGTGGTGAAGAGAAGGGGATGGGGAAGGGGTGTATTGTGCAAAGAGTTCAAGACCGAGCGAAGTCGATAGGAGAGACGAAAGCGCACGAATTGGACGGAGACGGAACGAAATGCGGGAGAAGTGGAAACTGGGATCGAAGTACGGTCTTGTGTCCCCCACGTCATGAATCATGCATCCTCATCCCCTAGGAGCGAACTGGAACGCGCTGCGGCGGTGCGACCCGTCCGAGAAATAAACAATGTTATTTGTTCGTTGGGATCCCGACCCATCCGCAGCGGTCCAAAGGACTTCCAGCAGGACTAGCGGCGGAAGGACGAGTGGCGGGTTCCATGCTTTCGTAACCCACAACGATGGGATGAGATACCCGGCTACTCTCCTCTTCGCTCTCTTCGTCCTTTCTCGAGCGCTTCTGTCACTCCTTCTATCTCGTTCCCGTTTCTGCGCTCTACTCGCGAACCCATGCGCACTCTGACAGCTAGAACTGTCAGCGGCAGAGGAAGCTCTCGCAACCGCTGATGGTGTTTGAACGGGGCCGAAGTGACGCGAAGGACGAGCGCATACATGCCGGACAAATAACGATACTTCCGCTTTCTCGGCAAACTGGATATTCCTGCTATCCCTGCATGCCGGTTTCGTACTTCGTCGCCATGAGCTTTCGTTCTTCTTGCTCCACTTGCCTCATCCTCTCAGAAAGGATAAAAGCAGAAATAGAAAGACGAAAGTCCGCGACTTTCTGTAAATATAAGAAATATCGTAGGAACCAGAGACGCCTTATTGCGAGACGACTAACGTGTCGTTTTTATTTTTGTTGCAGATGAACCGTCCTATCCAAGTGAAGCCAGCGGACAGTGAAAACCGCGGAGGTGAGAACAAGCAATCGATCCAATATGTCTCAATATCGAAAATTATGTCGCTAATTTAATTATAATGAGGAATATCAAAATTCTTATCAAATTCTATATGATTAAATTTAATTAAGCATTGAAAAAGAATCATAAAGCTCTTAAAGTAACGTTTCTATCTTTTACTATCTATAATATTTTCATTTTTACACCATACAAGTAAAAAGACGTCGCAAGAGATTGTAATCACACATATTTCGAATGTTCATGTGAACAACAGCAAATAATCAAATATTTCATGAACACGCGGTCAGTGATGAATCAATTACAAATTAGTTTCGTGCTGGAAATGCCATACTTCTAGAATTATACATAAATATAGGGAAAGCAATTTTATTCTGCGCAGTATATGTACTCGGTGTCTTTAATAGCATTAGATTCCATATCAATCGTACAAGAGTACTATGTAATAAACTACAGATAATTCGCTGTAATAGTGAGTCGCGATAACACATTGGTCGTATAAAATTCATACTCGCGCCGGCGGCGCGATAGACTACACGATAAAAAATGTATACCGCGGGTACCCACCCATCCAGTCGTGTTGATATTCATCGGCTCGTTCTCTCTACAGAGTTGTCGCGCGTGGCGGCTTCTCTTCGCGCCCGCGCCATATCTTCCCCGTGCACACCTTGTGCCGAGAGCCAATTTTATTAATTACGTGGAATTTTTCAGCTGGCGATGACCGTCATGTTGACATTCGCTTATCGCCATGAACGCCGCGGGTCATAAATTTCGCGTCACGGTAGGATAACCAGGGGGGCAGGCATCCGCGTATGTATGACGAAGCTCCAGATAATCGAGAGACAAATTGTCGATCGACCATTGTTTTTAATGAGTCGTCGCTTGCGCTCGTGCCCACCTCGTGTTTCCTCCCAATCGCGTGACCATACGCCCACCTTTGTCCTGCCAATCTTATAAATATATAATTTGGTTGGGTATTATTTGAGAAAAAGTACGATCTCTAATCGGCGCGGTTACGGGCGTTGTAAATAGTATCTCGCGCAAAAATCTGCTCGCTTATCCATCATTCGTTCATCCACTCGCGCTCGCGTTCGATTCGTCCCATACGTTAATTTCTATAAAGCACCTCGGCAAATATAACTCGTACCATTGGAGCCACGATTTAATTAAAAATATGGTATTTATCTTTGGAGGCGGGTCGTAACCGATCGATACTGTTCCATCCGTTTGGCGAGCGCCATCGTCGAAGCTCCCAGCGTCGCTTCCGATGCATGTAAATAGCAGGGAAGCTCGTCCGAGAATTCCCGAAGGCTAAGAGCCGTTGGGGCCCCTTTCGTTACCATTCGCAAAGTCCGTACCACACCGGGGACAGCGTTCCCGACGAGCCGGCAACTACTCCGAAGTCCTTCCTGCCGACGAAGGTGGGCAGGACTCCAACGCAAGGAGTGCGCCAAGATAAAGGAGGAGAATACATATAAGAGAGAAAGAGAGAGAGAGAGAGAGAGAGATACATATAGAAATGCGAAGGAAGAGATCGAGGGAGATCGCGCAGGGCGTTAGACCGGGATATGCGGAAGAAGGCACGAGGTACAGGGACGGCGAAGGGGAGTAGATGAGGGGGATCGTAATTCATATGCTAATCTGGAGGAGATGCCATTGTAATCTCCGGTCGCCTGCCTCCATGCGGCCCCACAAAGCCTCGGCTTGACGCGGATGCAGGAGTGATCCTGAGCACGGTGCTGCTCCCGCCGTTGCTTCTGCGGCGCAGTGTATACCTATGTAGACGCTGTATCTACGTAGTCGCAGAGAGAGTTCAATCAGGGAGGTTACTGAACTTCGACAGCACCGTCGAGCCGCCTCCATCCTCAGCGGTAACCGCCGATGTCTATCCTCTATCGCGTACGGTCGTACAAGATGGTTTCCGCCACTTCATCTTCGCGTCTCTCACTCTCTTTGTCCACCCTCTAATCGCGTCATCCTTAACAACCAACCCGGCATGATCTTTATGATCCTTCATGACCGTTGACGTGATCCTCATCAGGTTATCTCGGAGCGATACAGATGTTAATGACGTCATGTTGTAATTCGTTCGAATAACGCACGGGATCATGGCAAATCCTCAGTTGCGTAATTAGAGGTCCGATGTTACGAGTAATCTGCTTAAAACTGATCAACCAACATCAATGTCCATCGGAATTAAACTATCTTAGAGACATATTACGTTTCACTAACCTCCGTGACATTTGATCACGTTTCGCAATCTTGCAATTAACAATATTATGGGATTACTATCCGGTAACAATAAGTGCATTCACTCGAATACCTCTCGTCAGCAGTAATCTATATTTCGGTTTAATCCGTATATAAACTCTATCTCGATCGCATAAATGGATTCTAAGAATTTCATCTTGAACTGAAAACGGATTTAAATCGAATTGAATCACCTTAAGTTGTCCTAAGTAGGTCGAATATACTATAATCGTTTCTTGTCGATTTCACGAACTATCACATTAGAAATATTGTATTTTTAGTAAACAAACTCGATATAACTTTTTCACGATATATTCCTATTTAAAAAAAAACGAAGGAAGCGATGTTGCACCACTTCGTATTTATAAAATGATAGTTTAAGGTAGCAATGGCTATAATCACTTATCTCTTCTATCAAGAAAGATTTCATTGTTCCAAGGGACTTCTTCACCCTTTTCCATGTTAATGATAAATGCCCTTTATGCCTGCGTTTTGCAGCCCTCAACATGCGATTAATTAAGTCATTTTATAGATTTTCTTCTATAACGACTAGCACTCGAAAGGCAACTCCGCAGAGTAAACGTCCTATTAGCGATATAAAAGATAAATCAGGCTTTAATTGCGAGATGATGCGAGGCTAAAACGTACGTTCGGCTGCGAAAATGATTTGTTTCACTGTACCAATTCCTCTTATTGCGCGAGATACCGCATAGTGTTTGTGCGATAAATCCATTCGCGAATTATACGGAGGACCGTACAAACAATCGAAAAGATATTTCATGCTGAATTTGACTTTATCTTAAATCCTTGCTAACTTTTAGAAATTTACCGTGTTGAGATGCGCGAAAAATGACCGTTCATAAATGCACTATCTTTGTAATATCGGCTGCAATTTTACAACCGCAACTCGTACGAGCTATGCACTTATCCTTTCCAGTTCTTATCGCGGTGATGTATCATCGAAGATACGTTTACTTCAGAAAGAATCTCAACGAAATCCATTCGAGTGAAGATTCCCGACGAAGCTCTTTGCCGAAACATTTTTCACGCACGTCGATGGTAAGACCCCGCACGCGCGATAATAGCAGCCGAAGCACAACCGGAATTAAGTTTACAGCGACGAGAACAGATTTGAGAAATGCGTATCTCGCGCGGAAGTTGGCCCGCCGACTCAGGGTCGAAGTTTCTACGACTGGATAAGGGTGGGTGCTGCTGTACCGGAGCTAGTTGAGCAAGTAGATAAGTTTCGATCCCTCAGCGAGCCACCTTGCTCCCACCGCCATCACTCGCCTTACCGCTACCTCTTCGTCGTAGATAAACGTATCCCGGAATATCGGATTGAGGAAAAGGGGAAAGGGGCCTACGCGGCCGCCTTCTCGCGTCGCTGCCAAGTTCGGCCCGACTGACATGACGTGGACTGGTCTTAAACCCATCCGAGAGAAATCCTCGCGGATTATAAGAGTCCGTTTTCGTACCTCTTCTTACGAAGAAGAACGACGGATGACGGAGTATTCGTCGTAAGGCAAGCGCAAACTTACTCGCTGGATTTGTACTGCAACTTCACTTTATGGTATGTCGGAGATAGTATATTCGCGAAGTTAGTTCATGTACAAGCAACGACACTTATGAGGAGTGTCAGAGAAATATGAAAATTACAAAAGCATTTATGAAACAATCTTATTTACTGTAATATTTACTGTAATATTCACTTGAATGAACATTTCATAGAATATTTGAATTTCGTAGAAGAAAAATATATTTTGATGTTCATCGTTTGACTTTATTTTATTTTAACGAGTTTTAATTACAGCTAGTTTTTCTTCAATTTCTAAATAATATGAAAATATATTGAATATATTCAAAGAGAGAAAAACATCAAAATCATTAAATTTTATACAATTTTGAAGAACATTAATTAGAACTATATTAATCGATTCTTAATTTAATACTCATTTTATTCATTTGGAAAGAAAGAATAATAACAAGAGCCAACAAATATATTTTTTTAAATTATTATTTTAATCTCTCCCTCCTCGCGAATAGTCACCTGGAGTATTTTTATATCCCAGCGACAAAAAAATGTGAATTGTAAAATATTGTTTTACGATGTCGATATTGTTCAATTTATTTTTTCTTTATTCCATAATAACCATTTTTTACAAACCTTTAAATATGCAATTCTATCGAAAACTCGCAATAAAAAAACATATGTTAATTAAAATTTTAATTTTTAAAAAATACTGTCATAAGCTATTTGACGCGCTTTTTCTATTTAATATTTCTTTGATCTCTAATTATACTTTTTAGAAAATTGCGAGTAAATCTATATCCATAATATTCTCAAATACTAATAATTTAAATAAAGCGATTTATTAGCATTAATTAATGACAATTCGACAGAACAGGGCCATTTTGACAGGTTTATAGTATAGGAAAAATACGTTATCATGAATAAAACGCGGTTTAGATATCCGCGTCGTGTCAAACAAAACGTTCGCTTTGTTCTCATCGTCCAGCGAGATGATAATTTCTCGAGAGTTAATTCCTCTTTCGCTTCCGCTTAGGGAGTCGAAGGAAAGAGGACGCGAAGGGCGCGTTAACACTTAGCTCTGGCGACAAAGGTCCAATTCTTGGTCCCAACGGTATCCTGACGCGACAATGGGAGCGAACTCTCGGCGAAAAGTACCCGGGGCTAAGGACAGACGGGATATTTCCCGACGAGGCATTGATACGCCGAAGGGAATCGAGACGGGTGTGCGCGGTATGAGAATTGCCAGGGATAAAAAGAAGGGGAGGGAAGAATCTGCGGAAAGCGGGGACGCAACGAGGCTGCAAGTCAGGCGAGAATCTAATTTCCCGAGACAAATCCTTAAATGTGCCCCGGAGCCCGGCTGGAAGGCGCGAGCCGAGGCATCTCACGGAATGAGCTCTCGTCTAGCATCCGCGACAACGACCTTTAACTCGGCTCGCCAATTTTGCGTCTCCATAACCCCCTCGTCGCGAAACGCGTCATTAAACTCATTCACGCGAGAAATGCGGTAGATCGAAAACAGAGCGTCGCAATCCGGAATGCAGTCGCGATCTAACCGGAAAAACATAAACTACCCCCAGTATTTTTTGCTCGAACGAGATTGCCCGACGCATTGCATAAAAATAGCGTCTCTTAATTAATTTATCGACGATAAAGACAATAGAACGAAAGCGTTTGGAAAAATCTGCAATAAATTCGCATTCATCAATGTTGATGTGAACTCCTACGAAAGATTTCTCAATTAGTTAAAATCAAACGTATTGAGGTATTATTCCAATTTCATTATCGTAAATAGCATAATATTTCAAATCTTGTTACCGGTATTATTGATATTTCGTGATAGTTTAATTCCTGCGATTATTAATCTGATTGCATTATATCCACGACTAATATTATATTATGGAAATTAGGTTGCTGTAATTATATAATACCTAATTGCAATGTTAAAATCAAAAATATCCACACTTGATATTTAACAATAATCAAACGGAATATACATTTTAATGGGACTTAATCGTTGCTACGCAAATGAATTCAGTCTAGTAACCTGAAAATCGATAAGTAATGATCAATTATAAAATAAATTTGTAAGAAAAATAGTTTTCGCTCAACGCAGCGATAAGCATCGATCTTCTTTTTACAAATAATATTCTTGTTACTGATCATAATTTTTTTTTATAATGTGATAGGTCGTATCGTATTCATCACGCAGAAGATCCGATTGAAAGAAATGTCCTGTACTGTACGAGTATACGAAAGAAACGCATGGGTACGATTCGCAGTTGGGCGAGACTAAAATCGAATTGAATCTTGCGAGGATTCATATAGATGACGAATGGTGTATTTTTTTTAGGTCCAATGCCATTTCTTTGTTTCTGTTCTGTATTCCAGAGTGCATGATGGACGACGGGAGCGCCTGTGCCATCTTCTGGAAGTAGGAAGCACCGGTTTCGGCCGCTGAAGGTAACTTCGACTTCCAGGAGATAGCTAGCTTCCTTCCAGTACCTCTATTCTTCTTCTCCGCAAATTGGCAGAAAGAGAACTTCCCCCCTCGATGAAATGAGAACAAAATGAATAAGGAAAAAGAAACGGGTCCAACTACCCAGCCCCTCATTCTCTCCCGCCAACATCACGCCAACACCGCTGATTCAGCCAGCACAGCCCGCCGCAAAGTTCATTTTGCTGCTCGCTAGTGTTTGAACCACTAAAACTCCAGCATTCCCTCACGAACCACTATCCCTTAGCCCGACTTAGTGCAGCCGGTACATATCTATCCGTCGAGGAAGCTAAATTTGCACAAAGTGCTCGTCCAAATTCTTTCGCAAAAAAAAAAAGGTCTCGAATTTCTCGGAGCTTTTGACACACGCGCGACTCATTAGGACTCTCGCGTACATTTAGGATTATATTCGTGAATTGGTTCTGGATTGGCACGAACAATTGGTTCAAAATTAAAAAGTTCGATTTCCCCAAATACATTGATTTTCAAAAATCTCTTCGCTGATAAAATTCTCGAGATGTTCTCAGCTGAAAATTTAATCGCAATAACTCGCACGCTCTTCAGCTTATCCGCGCGATGAAAACGCTATTGGGCTCCTCTATGTCAGTCTCGCCATCCCCTTCTCATCCGTTTCTCATCCGGCACGATACGCATCATTTTACGCATTACAGAAGGTATTATAGACAGTGTTGTGCGTACCCACATGCGTGACTGAAACCTGTAGCCGTAAACCTGTCGTTCGTGTTTTTTTGCTCTGTTTATTACGCACCGCCGTTACACACTGTTGAAGCCTCGTTACGACGAGGTGTGCGTGGCGTGGACGCTCTTAGAATTCAGACCGGCACAATGAACCGAGAGTGATGCAGAATGTATGAGAGAATCGCGGTCTTAGAGCGTCTACCGACCGTACGATAGCAACGACCCTTTGCTCCGAGTACCGAAGTTTATTGTACGTTTCTTAGTCCATAAGTCCCGACGTCTTACATTCCCAAACCCCTGTCTAATCTCATATCCATATTCGTATGGACGAAACCATCTTGATCGTACATATTATATATATATAAAATTATTATATATATATATATATCGCTCTTTACAGCTATGATCATATAATAGTGGCTCGCTCGTTGGATGTGTTGTCTCGTTCGTTGTCAATGTGTTTTTTATCACCTCTGTACATATTTTCTGATTATGATATAATATATGTGAGCTACATTTATCTTATTGTATTATCTAGATTTGATTCTATATATAACAATATAACATCCCTATTTCTCAACAGTTGATTGAACCATTCTCCAACCTGCCGCATTCCGTTCCCAGTTCAATTGGAACTATTTCCTGTGTTATCCTACTAATTGTGAATCTCGCACAGCCATAATCGTGTTTTACTATTTGATATTACGAGGATACACACATATACATACATACGAATACATACATTAATACACATTCAGTGCAGATATTTCTAAACAAACTATCGCTAATTTATCAAAATTTGATTTGTAACTGCTTATACAATAATTTTAGGATAAATCTAGCTTACACAAAGTCGAAAATACTTTTAAAAGCGAAATTGACCAAAATCTTTTGCCGAACATTTTTAAGTACGCTGCATCCACCTTAAAAACGAGCTAAACGGAAATTGAAATGATTTTATCTTAATCTTGAAAAATTCTCAATCGGACTCGAATATCATCAGATAAAATCATATTCATTTCATTTAACATGAAACACTTCATATGACCCGTTCTTCCTCATTCAACTTTTCGCGCACAACTTAGAAATAGCTGCAGAATATAATAAGTATTCATTGTTAAACTTTGTGTAGCGGTGATCCATCTCGAGAATACATTACGTTTTCTGTCTACTAAACAGCTAAACAGTAGTTTAGCGAAATTGCTTCTACAGTCGTAAAAAGAATTGAACAACTCGACACGGATCACCGTCAGGAGTGTCAGCTATAATTGGATCGCTTAACATCCTACCTGATTTTATCGCGATTCCGTTTGTCATTCGTTTTCGATTTTTGATATACTTATTATTATAATACCGAATGTAGATCAACATTGATTTGAATTATTTTCCTTGTCTTTGTTATATTACGATTTCCGTTTCCCATTAAAGTACCATTTTCCATTGTTACAACACTGTATGTTACATTGTTATCGGTAATGATAATTGTTCCCGTGGTTGTTCTCGGTTTACTATGTCGCACAGAAGACACACATAAAACCTATACTCACACACGTACACTTGCGCGATTTCCAGTGCTATTAGATGTACACGTTGACGTAATAACGAGTGTAACCGTGCGCGTTGAAAGTACCGTACGTGTGCACATCAGATATGTTACGTTTTTATATATATATTATATATATCTATATATCCCTATCTCCCTCCCTTTAGGATGGTGGATGCTGGTGTAACCGTGTAACTTTGTCGTTCTCGGTGTTAGCCGCAAGATCTTCTCTTTAACGCCTATAACGCTTAGCTCACACACAGAACCGACTAACGTTGTTCTTTCTTTTTTTCTCTGTTCCCTCTATTTCGCAACGCGCCGTCGTCGACCCGCAGACAGAAAGCTGTTCGTTGGTATGTTAAGCAAGCAACAAACTGAAGACGATGTGCGACAGCTGTTTACTACCTTCGGTTCAATAGAGGAGTGCACCATCCTCCGTGGACCCGACGGAAGCAGCAGAGGTGAGTGCTCATTGTCAGCTGTTTACATAATATATTTGGTAACTGTTGCATGATTAGTAATCGTGTATACAAACAAGATACAATCAATTTTCTCAACCTATCTCCGAAATAAATATTTCCTCGAGAAAATTACGATTTAAGTATATCACCTGCTTACTTTAATTTTATATTCGACACAAATTCACAGAAAATTCATAAAAACGTACATAAGAATCGCAGATATTGCGACCAACGATTCACTATCATAAAAAGTTCAAAGATCGCCGATAAAGGAATTTAAAAATAGCTTCAGTGCTTCAGTCCCTGAGGGATTAAGCACGAAAACCATATTCTCTCTAGAACTAAGTGTACCGTAACGTGGTGCGCGTATATTTTTATGTCGTGGGATAAAAGCATAGGCACATTGTCCATAAAAATACGGGTATCTGTGCAATTTTTAGCCGCAGGGCGGGATATTCGCGTCCCTCTTTACTGCACGATCGTTTTACGTCTTCGCCGCGCATTACCTCTTCCACTCGATTCATACAGTTTTAATCTTTAAAAAATCAGCGAACATAACCATCTGAAGCAAAAGCTCACGTAATTTCAACGCTGTTGTTTCATCTTGTTAACGTGTATAATAAAAGCAATTAATTTCATAATATTATATATAGAATGCAGCAAATGCTCATTGTATTTAGTTTCTATTAATAATTGCAACCAGAAAATTACAGATTTATTAAAATAAAGTTTAATTTGAATTAAACCAAAAATTGAATAATTTTAAAGATCTTTATATTTTTATTATGTAAAAGAAAGCACAAAGTGACATTTTGTTGAAGAAAAATTTGTTTTAAAATGGTCGAGAAATAAAAAAGAGATAGTGTGGTAACCTTGGACACTTTGTACATCATCATTTGAGAGAGCCGTGAAGCTCATAATCCGCGGCGCCTTTGGGCATTTTCATCGAACGATGAAGCGAGCAAAGAGACTCTCTTCGGGGCACTTGCTTTTCAGAGGGGTGAGAACGAACGGACTCCGCGAAATTAATCACGAGATGAGGCAGCAAAAGGGAAGGAAGGCGACTACCTCAAAGGAAAGAAGGCAATTGCCTCGACCAAGCATTACGAGAAGGAAAAAAGAGATAGAGACTCACCGCCCGACGATGATGCACGACTAAGCCCAAGCGGAAGGATATAATCGCGACGGCATTTGAATATTTGCTCGCGTTGTAAACAGCGCGAAAGGATAGGTAGGCGGCAAGAGATGGATGTAATTCGGGCGGGGATAACTGACGGAATGGCGGACGAAAAGTGGGCGCGGAGCTGCAGTCGGACGAAGCGGCGAGAGCAATAATTTCCGCTGGACGAGATGCGGCGAAATTTAAATATTTTCATTCAAGAGTGAAGACCTCGCGATGCGTCTTCACTCGGAAGGTAACTAGAGGAGGGGAGGAGGGGAACGGAGGGGGGGTTAGCAACGAGCTACAGAGGTGATCGAAGAAAATGGGAAAGCAAGGCGGACCGGCGAAAAGGGAAAGAGGAGAAATAAGGAAACGGGTAGGAAGGGCGTGGGTAGGCAGGCGCGAATGTAATTAAATTCCACTTTGAAGTGAAACTCACTTTCAGCAGTTAATAAGATTTTGATTCGCAGTCGGTGACGTAACGCAGCGCGCCCATCGTCTTTGGCAGGTAGGCGCTGCTCGCTCGCGACGACGAAGGAAGCACGGGACGCCAAGGAGAAGTAACGGAAGTAGTATGCGAGAGAAGAGCTTTACAATGTGCGAAGTCTGTGCTCCTTCGCTTCGAGCAAAGACCAAGCCCACCGCCCGGCCTCTCCCGTCCTACGGTTCCACCGTTGCGCCAGAGCTCCGGTTCTTTGTCGAAAGCCAGGACGATGTTGTGCCAGCTTTCCGAGCTCTTTAATTAAAATTACGCGAGCGCGCGCACCACGACGACAGTTTCCAACCGGTAGTCGGTTTATCATGTAGAATGCATTCGCGATTGCTCGCCGAGAATCTCAGGTATGTCGCCCCGACAATTACAATATCTTTGACGAAACGAAGCACGCAAGGTCTGAGCGCAATCTCAAGCTTAATCTCCGCTCTTCGCGAAGTTGACCTTCCAACATTAGGCAGGGTCGATCAAGGCGACGTTAACCACATCTCGGTCGCATCCATTTCTCCGAATCTCCCGAAACGAGTTCTAATTCTACGAGTTCCTATTCTCAGCTAGCGCTTAGAGCGCGAATCTTCCAGAGATAATTCTGCCGCAATCCCAACCGCGACATTCGTCCTTGGACACTGGTATCAGAACGAAGTTACTCAGCGGGGATGGATGTGCTTGCCGTGGGGAAGAGCCTGATCGCTTATTCCGCGCAACTCCGCGGCATATCCCACGCCCCGATCTCGTCCCGGCAGAAACTTTCCCAACACGCTTCATCACCGCTCGCCGAGCCTCGGTCGAGTTTCATAACTAGCTAATCCGACCCGTAATAGAGAGATCAGGCAGAGCTCCAACGAGCGCGGCCGTATATATATATATATATATGTATAAATACATACACACATAATATATATATATCGCTATACTGTGAGTCTACGTGGCACCAAAATTACAGCGGAGAGGATATCGTTTCGGTAACTCTTATTCTGGCATCATCCGTCAGTAAAGCACGGGGATCAGTTACACGTCGGGTATGTAAGCGCACGCGACCGGAATATCCTGTTAGCTATGTACTTAACTCGCGCAACTTCCATCAGCCGGTGACCTTCCAATGAGTAACGACGATCAAAAGTTATCAGCGATATCCACAATCGCTCTTCGCTTCCATTCGCTACTCTTTCAACTTAACTTTTCTTATCGGATAATGTTACCTATCTCGAAAGGTGGTGAAAGATTTAACGAGGAGTCTAAAAAAAGAAGATCTTCGAGTTCTTAGGGAGACACGATCGTCATCACCCCCGTTGTTGTCGTCGTCTTCGTCGTTGCTGTCATCGTTGTCGAAACGACGCACTGCGTTATCCCTCCTCCGCAGCTTTCCCTCAAGCCCTACACCACCCCGTCATCTCCCAGGGGGAAGAGGGGAACGACGATGGAGCTCTTCGTCCAATTATTTTTCCCTCGCTTCGAAACATTTCAACGCCACTTCAACGAACGAACTCGTTCTATTCTCGTTGCCGCGCAACCCTCTCCGCCACCCTACGGCAGAACAGAACCGCGTCACTTCTTCCCCGGTTTGCTCCCATTCTCTGTCGGCGTTACATCCCCTCCTAGCTGTGCGTACGCGATCTCAACTGGGCCACCCCTTAACGCGAAGTCCGCATTATTTCAATTGCGCGAACAGCAATAATTCACCGCGCTAAGAAGATTATAAAATATTTATGAATAATGGAACAAAGTATATATTCTGAGCGAGGTCCTTCTATCACGAAACGCAGGAAGGTACGCTTGTCGAGGTAACACCACGTTACTACGGTAAAACGGAGCCACTTTCTGTGGTAGCAACCAAGCCACGTGTAGCTTGTGTGCGTCACGATTGCGCAACCGTGTGCCGTAAGCGCGATACGATTATTCAAACCGGGGAAACAATTCCATGCATTAAGTCGTAATAACATTGCGCGCCGGTACTCCCGATCCTCTTTTGTCGCAGGACTCGCAAAACGCGGTATTTGGTACTCACAGCCTCGGCCGCGCTAACTATCGGGTGGCATTATGTAACATTTAACCATTCCCCCCCTCCCTCCCGAGCACGAGAGAAGTACAATAGATCATGAGTTCGCGAGTTACTGCGCGAACAATGCAATTACGAGAGAAACATTATATCGTTCGCTTCAAGATCTCACCTTAAGGGATGCGGCGGATGCTAATTTACTCGGTTTTAACATCGAAATACTAACATAACGTCTACCGCTTTATGCAGACTTAAAGCTTCTGATGTGTCGCTATAAACATATTACGATTAGTAATCTCGCAAGAATAAAATGAAAGTTTTAATTGAGAGAACAACTAAAGGCAAATGATATTTCTGCAATTAGCGAGTTGCTGAGTGTTCTATGTCAATATGTTCTTGCAGACGATCCGTTAATAATGCATGCGTTTCATGGACTACAAACGAATGTTTAGGGATTAAACACGAGCGATGTGCAATCGGCTGTTTTCTCAGCACGTTTGTGTCAGTACGATTTATCGTCGTGGTAATAGTTAGCGCCCTTTAAATCGTCGCTCCAGTTCGCCGATTATAGCACCACTTGGATAAGCACTCGCATTTACTCGCGCGAAATCATTTCCGATCATTTTCGATGGAGCTTTCGTTTTTGACTGCGCGACGTAAAGAGATTGCGATGGCCGCGTTAACGATATTGCTGACGGGAAATATGACAAATCAATAATTTCCTCAGCCTAGCATTTTATGATGGGGCATTAAACGAGCGATGGTTATCGACGATTAATCGTTCGGTTGTCACTTGCACCGGCGCGTCCACGCGCGGTATGTATCGTGCCTTAATACGCGCCGACAATTTGCGTTCTTTATCTTCGACACGCACGTGGAACGTATGCCTCCATTATTGCACAAGCACGGGATATATTACTGTCGCGAGGATTATAGGAAAAATATTCTGCGCTTTACGGGTACACTCTCATTATCGCGAGGCTATAAACTTGTCCGTCCTCATTATCCTGCAGGACCGTGCAGTTATCAAGCTGTAATTCCATTAACGATTCTACTTATTACGACGCGATGCAAATTGTAGAATATAAACGTAGCGTTTCTGCGCCACGCTTTCAAGACGCAATATACAAAACGAATATTAAGTGTGCTGTAAAAAAAAATAATCGGAATCGTGATAGAATTGTATATGACCTATATTGTAATAATCAGTCATCATTTATAGTGGTGCAAATTGTGAAATATAAACAGCGTTTCTGCGCCACGTTTCCAAGGTGCACATTCTGTTAAATTTATAATGTTAAATTATACCCAATTTAAGTTTTTAATCATTTCTGCAAGTCACATTTCTA